CTGAAGTCTCCTCCCACTGAAGACAATGTCATTATGGCCGGGGTCCTGAGTTTGCTAAACGGATTTTTTCCTTGACTCATATTTCCGTCACATCGTATGTGTTTGATTTACCTACATTGATCTTATATTTAATCTTGGCCCATTTAGACACATTTACTGTCATTTTTTATTTGCTTAGTAACTCAATGCAGCTCAGAAAGGTAACAGGGATGGATAGAGCGTGACAAGTTGCAAATATATTCTGCACAGATCTCTTCTGCAGCTTGCTGTGTTTTGGTTTTGACAGTTTGGTTTATGGGATGGGTTGTTTATTCAAATGCTTGGTTTATATAAGAGGATTTAGCAGCAGCTGTAAGCGTACTACAGAGAAGCATTTGAAATGTTTCTTATTTTTACTCTATTGTTTGTGAGTCCTCCAGGAACTTCACAAAAACCCTTCGTACTCCTAGGACCAATATCAGAGGAGTGTGCTAGGCTGAAAATGGAGAGGACCCACACAAAATTCAGAAAATCAGCTGTGTTCATCACCAGGTCTTTGGTAGCCGTGGAGAGAACCAAGGGAAAAACTGCCTCTGCTGAAGTTTTGCTGTTGATGCCAGTGGGACAGTTTCTCAGCCCTACTTCCTTTCTACAGGCTTTGTGAACATCTTAAGATGCTGACACTGGTAACACAGAGATGGACCTCTTTCTTTAGGAAAGGAGGAGAGGCATCTTCCTGGTGATACTGGTCAAGCAGAGGGAGAGAAGAATTTCCCAAGAGGCAGGGTTGAAGTGGCATAGGGTAGGAGGGAGTACTCATTTATTAGTAAGCATTTTTGTAAAGCACAGCTGTGCTCAGGTGGTGTGCTGGTGCAGTGGTCCTCTGCAGAGGCAAGGGATGCCAGCTAACTTGTGTCCATGGGGGAACAGTGTGTTTTGGGTCAGGTATGTCTTGTGCTGACTGTATTTTGTGTTTTTCTTGGAAAGCCAGTGCTAAGGAGGAAATAGAACTACAAAAAAATTCCTACAGGCTGCAGGGGAGCTGCTTGGGTAGCTGGCCAAGGAAAGCATACTCATATAAACGTATCAACACAATGAAAATTAATCTTACGCTAGACCAGAGTTTGAGAAGAGTGAAAAACATCGGTACTCTGCAGTGTCATTTCATGTGTACTTGGCAGTTAATAGGGGTATGGGTTCTGCCAGGAGACCTGGCACCAGAGGAGAGAATCGAGACTTGGTGGGTCAGGTGTGGCATGGAGAAAAGATGGTTTTCCTCACTGGGCTCCCAGGGCGTGAGGGGCCTGCTTGTGTACTGGCCTGGGGGGTTTCTGGAAGATGCCAGCTGGGTCTGGTGGAGGTCTGCTCCTCCAGTGTGGTACCCACCTGGCAGATTCATGATGGGGACAGCTGGGGACATCTCTCTCTCCCTCCTGGCTAGCTCCAGAACAGGGCTCCCCATGCATGCACACACATGGATACGAACTGCATTTATATGCAGTGCACTCAACTTACCTCACCATAGGCTCAAGGTATTTTCCTCTTGTAGACTGTGAGCCTTTTCTCCAAATGCTGATGACGGCAATTGGAGACAGGCTGTGCCATTTCTCCCCACTGCTGGTACCATCAGCAATCCATTTTCTGTCTTTTAGTAAGTGGAGGCAAGGTGATTTCTATGTAAGTGGTCACCCAGTTTGGAACAGGCATGTGGCCAAGCACTGAGGCAAGGGTTGATCTATATCTGAATATATCCTAAATTATCATCAGGGTTGCAGTTAGGCAGCCGAGGTGAGATCCATGCCTTTGCAGAAACTGAGCTGGTATCTGTGCACTGCTATTTACTGCACTGTGTTTAGGACTTAATTTTCAAACAGGTTTTGTCCAGGCAGGGTTAAATTTCAGTGTTTGGAAAGCAGCTAAATGGACTGAGGTTTAATTCATCAGTAGATGCTGTGTGTTTTGTACAATTTCAGCAACACAACCTGTCAACCCTGTTGAGTTGGCCACTTACACTGTCCTTAGAGCTGCTTTATTTAGCTTGAACGCTGCAAATTGATAATGTAGTCTACAAAATTTGGTACAGTCTTTTAAATATTAAAAATTTCAGTGGAAGCTTGTGCTGAAAGGAAAATGTAAAATTAGTTGAGCAAAAAAAGCTCAAGGACTTTGATGTCTGAATCAATTGATTCTGAGCAGCAATTCAGCTGAGGCTCTGTCCACTATGCTGACTTCAACCTTCGTCCATCTTTTATTTCTTTTCTTTCAGAGAAATACTGTAAATCTTGTTTGTGAGCATGAAATTTCTGTCTTATCATAACAGCAGTATAGCATAGAGAGGGAAAGCAGTTGAAGAAGCAGTAAGAGAACTAGAAAGTAAGCCAGATTTAGTTGAAGAGGGTGCATTTTGTTTTCTTGGATTGGGTTAATTAATTTAAAACCTTTTTGGCTTTGAGCAAGAGAGTTCAGCTGTTGTGAGATGTACAAAAATTGAAGTGGTGTGAGAAAGGTTTGGTTTATTTGATGATTGTTTGTCTTCATGTTTTAGAAACAGCAGCATTGGCTGTTAGAAACACTGCAGCAGTCATCCTAGCACAGTGATAAATGGCCTTTTCCCAGGTGACTCTTAATTCCATGTCTTCTTATCCAGAAAATGCGCTATTTTCCAAATAAAAATGTATTAACTTGGTCTTTTCGGACAGAGCACTAATGAATGACACAGTGGCACTTCGGTCCCTTCCATGACATGCGCCCCACTCTACAGGCAACTCTGTCTCCATGTGGCTGTAAGCGTGGACCTTGTCTCATCCTGGCCCTGCAGCTCACTTCCAACATCTGTTTTGTCTTTTTTTTCACAGTTGTGCAGCACATCAAGCGCCACAATATTGTTCTTAAAAGAGAGCTGGGAGAAGGAGCCTTTGGGAAAGTCTTTCTGGCGGAATGCTATAACCTCTGTCCTGAGCAGGACAAGATCTTGGTGGCAGTGAAGGTAAAAGAATCTAGGGTTTCCATTATTAATCGATGCTTGGACCTAATGCTATTTTATTTGTAAATGATCACATTTGCCTATTCTGTAGCCCAGTGCAACTACTCTGATATATGTGGAAGAGTCATAAGGCTAATGGAGTGTTAAGAGAACGTGATATTTGATCTTGATGTGGATTATAAAATGGGAGCTGAATTTCACAAGGAAAGGAGGGGAAACAGACTGTGTCACAAAGGGGCAAAATCTCTTATGATCTATCTAAAATATAATTAGTGAAAAATAATGTCTAGGTCATTAAAAATACATGTGATATGTGTCAAAAAATAAGCTATTACTAGCTAAGTGAATAGTGTTTTTGTATAATTGCTCGTCAAAGAAGGCCTTTTGTTTTCAGGATTGTGCCATTCTTTTAGTCAGCCAATGAAATTATCGGTGGGTAGTTGTAATTAATATAGCTGCCAGGAGTATTATAACAAACTTGTGGCTAATATTGTCATGTGCTGTTAAACACTGGCTGCATGGAAATCCAGAAGTCGCGATATCTGATACCTGGAAGAATCATAGCCTTTGGAGTTTCACATACACTGCACAGTTCTCTACATTTCGAGGTGGGGGGGTGGGAAGAGGGCAATTGTTTGGATCTCTTTAAGGGTACAGAATACATGATACACTGGGAATCTACTAAGGAGTAAGAAGATTTCCAGCTTGATCTCACATCCTGGACACCAAACCTACTTCACTGTACTAATCCCTTTTATCCCCCAGAATGGAAGGGCTAAGGTTGCTTGTTGACCTCAGCTATGGTTGTATGCTAGAAGACAGTCATGAGTGAAAGTACATGCTGAGTTGGCAAAGTCTACCTGGCAACAATCTCTTATCTTCATCTGTAGTGTTCTGCCAAAAGCTGAAAAAGGTGTTCAGAATCTGAAACATCTAATTAAATGCAGGAAGAACACACATTTAGAATTTGGGATGTGCCTAGGGATCAGAAAATAGTTTTACCTGACCAGTCACAATTAGGGAACCATGTGTACATAATGGATCAAACTATACAGTAAAGCAAAATTGACTAGAACATAGTTTTGAATTTGTAAACAAGAAATAGAATTCTGGCTCTGGCAGTGGGAGAACATGAAAGGAGGATGGACTTGTAGAATGCTTTCTTGCTTCGTTCTTGGGGCTTTGGGGATTTGCAAGATTACAAGCTTTTTGATACCTGGGCATTGTTCAGTCACATTGACTAGTGAGAAAAAGAAATAGCCCTAAACAGATACGTAATAGACAGGAGAAAGCAAAAGATAGATGACAAAACTACATCTGAATGAATTTTCTATTGTATTTTGGTGAAGCTAAAGTGGAAACTGCCTTTCCTCTATCACTTCAGGGGCCTGCTTGATAGCAAAATAAAATTCTTTTCATTCATTTACTCTTTTTGAAAGTCCTGACCAGATGGAGGCTAGCACTTCTGCTGTTAACGCTCACTCTCTGCTGCTCTTTTGCTGTGTAAGTCGCAAGGAAGGGCAATCTCCATGGATTTAGATGACAAATCTATTTATCAGTTTTCTGGACCAGTTGTCTTTTTTTTTTTTTTTAAACAAATCCATTCTTTGTAGATTCCTTAGTAAGGATCTTGCAGACAACTGTGGGAAGAATTACCTCTAGGGACAGGTTATGCCCATTTTATGTTTCTCACACTGGCTTTTGAAGATGTGGCTCTGGCTGCTGTCAAAGAGTGATTTTTTTTTTTGTGAACTGTGCTGTTGGATTGATCCCCGTATAACTGAGGGGTTGACTGCCTGGTGCTTCTCTCTTTCACCATGGTACCGGAAGTAGATCACAGGTATCTTCCAGTCACAGTGGACGTCAAAGGTGGGACCTCCTTCTTGTACAGAGCGCTAGCCACAGTACCTTGTCCAGTGGACCTGACCACTGGGCACAGGGTTTGGCAGTGAAAATGTGTGATTTTTTTTTTCCCCCCCAACACCTTGATGCCAACAGTGGAGGGGAGCTCCTCTTGGCACACAGCAAAGGGCTTTAGGAGAGTTTCACCCCCATGGGAAAAAACCACAACACACCTGTCTCCATGAAACAGATCCAGTAAACCCAGTGGGAATATACACCTGGTGAGGAGTAAGGCACCAGGAGTAAGGTGCCAGGGGGGATTTTGGCAGCAAGGAGACACGATTTCACCAGCACAGGGTGGATCGTGATGGATGGTGCTCCCCGCAGGCTGCCTGTGCCTGATGGTTGCTGGGCAACTGCGGAGTTCATGCCTGTCCCCGAGCATCACTCTGATTCTAAAAGCATCCTTCTCCTTTTCAGCAGGCGGGTATCCAAAATGCTGACATTGCTGCAGCAAATTATTCAGGAGCTAAGAGGCCAAGAATAATCTGGGAAGATGTCTAATCAGGCTTAGCATAAACAACCCAAAGTACTTGAGTTTTTGCTCCTTGGAAGAGGAGAAAGACAATCTGTTTAAATCTGTTTTGACCATCAGTTTCTAAGAGAAGCGCTGAGTGTTTGGAAATTTTTCCGTGGGTCAAACCCCTGTGAATAAAGAACTTAACCATAGGTTAAGCTGCTTACACAGGCATCATACTAGCCTTCCCCTCAGGTGAGCTTGCACATCACATGGGTGCACCATTTGCTGTAGGCACTTCTAGTGAACAGAGTATGGAGTAAGGAAAAGCTATAGTCTCCTTGTGGGCCATTTTGCCAAGCCACAGGGGTTGTTTAGGTCTAGATTGGTACTGTCTCCTAATAGGGTCAGATTCCCAAGGCAGACTCTTGCACTAGTTTAACCTGGCCAGAGGTGGAGATGAGGATTATGGTCAGGGCACAGGTTAGCAGCTACCTCTGGCTCCCCTGGGAGGCTGGAGCAGGATTCTCCCTGTGCTGCTGCAAGGTTGTACTGGGCTAGCAGATTGCTGTACGTGCAAGGTGAAAACATTTCCACTGCACCTGCAGAGAAAAACCAAGGGTTTCCAACTCTTCCCATCTTCAGTTCAGAGAAGGGTACGAATGACTCCATAAATTCTTGAGGAAATACACCATGAAGCTCTTGCATGGTGATGGGGAGCAGTAATAAGAACTTCACAGGGGAAGGCTGAAACAGTGTGAAGGGCAACTGTCATGAGAATTATCATGCCATTCTCAAGTCATACTGATGGTGCTAAGAACCACATTGCCTCTTGCTCTGACTCACCTGTGAATGCAGCTCTGTCACATCGAAGTGGACTAAGGAGCTGGCAGTTTGCTCTGACTACAGAGCACGGTTCTGCAGAGACCAGATGGTGTGTGGATACCTGGGCAAGGACTCTGTGGAGGAGAATAATTATGGGGTGGCAGTCTGACTGTCACAAGGATGAACTCAGCAGATGTGGAGCTCCTGTAACAGCAAGGGAAGACTCCCTCTGTTGTCCAAGGGAGCGTGTCCCTCCTTAACTGCTGGCCTGAGTGGATGTAGAGTATATGTGGTTCTATCTCAGTTTCCACTTGGGAAGAGCTCCTGTCGACTGGTGAGAATGCTTTGTATGCAAAGCTTTGGCATACTCGTCAGTAATGATAGTAATAATGAATATGTCTTTTTCTCTGTCTGTGCTGTTATGGTTTTATTTTGGTTTTGTTTTTTCTCTTGCACTGAGAAGAAGCTAAATGCATTAGTCAATGTCATTTCTATGTAAATTCTAAGTACTAATTAATTTTTTCAGTTTCCAGTCTCCTCCTTGCCTGACTGCATCAGCTATCTCTCATGCATTGTATCTTTTCTGTGCACTGCATGAAATAATGAAAAGGGGGTTTTGCAATGGTGGGTGCCAGAAATTCAAGTCGCCCTTTGGTAGTAGAAACACTGCCTGAGTTTTACCTGGGTTTTAGACCTCCCTGCATTTTGCTGTTTGACAGAAAATGTGTAATTGCCATGGCAACTGCTCTGTCATATGATAATTCTGCTGTTTCTGAGAGATAAAAAGCATCTTCTGAAATTTACAATATGCCATCCACACAGGGCAGAGCTGTCAGCGGTTTTACTGTCTTTCCAGGGAACGCGCCTGCTGGAAGAGTATCAGCCTGTGCTTCTCCCTGTCAATTTTGGCCACGTTGCTATTATTTAAAAATGTTTTTTTATATGAACAGCTTTTCTAATTCTGTTGTTGAGAAGAATTATGGTCCAATTATTTCATACATGAAACCACCAAAGGAACTCAAGTGACAACAGAATTGTTCCCAGTGCTTTCATTATATAGCGTAGATTGGACTGTGGGTTGGTGCCTGCATCATGTTAAAGCATCATCCCAGAGGCTGGAAGCATTGGAAGACGTTTCAATTTCAGTCCTCACCCGATTCAGCTGTGATTGTGTGGGGGCCATAGCGGGGAGCCAATTTGATATCTACCTTAGGTGGCATAGCTGTGTATGCTAATATAACACAGCTTGTGAAGCTTTGATCATGCACTATCCTTGTTGTGTTGTCATTGGTAAAACTTGTGGAAGAAGGGGTCTGGGCCTGAAGACACATGAGATTTGTGAGGATGTCCCTCAGGGAAGGGACGTCTGTGTCATGAGTGATTTCTGTTGCCCCTAGGATCCACAGAGCCTGAAATCCATAGGGAAAAGCCCCTTTACTTGGTAGATGGCTATCCAGCATGCACTGCTCCTTGTCCCTCCATCTCAACCTTATTAAGGCAGCTGTTCATTTCTCAAGACCTGTTGTTGCAGTTTCACAAGTAAAGCGAGTGTTTACTTCAACAGTCATCCTTTAGTCCTTTGTTCACATGTGCATACCTATTAAACTACAAAAGGAGACAGAATTGTCTCTGTTAAAGAAAAAGCTTGAACAAATGGTGACTACTGCAGCTAAAAACTGTGTTTATTGGCAGAATGATTGCACAGTATCAACTTTTTCTCTGTCTCTTCTGATGAGCGTGGTTAGTCCCATGCTCTGTATATAAATTCAGGGTAAAAAATGATGACCAGGGATAAACATTTTTAATTAAAACAATGCCACTACCTTTGTGTCTCGTCTTCCTTTCCAGTAAGTCTGGGTGTAGTTAAAATCCAGAGGTACAGAGCTGAGAAGCTGAGACATCAGAATAATTTGTGAACATTCAAATATTGTTTGAATTAGTATAGTGCAACCACTATAGCTTTTGAAGATAATTATTCCTTATTTAACTGGTGCCAGAATTCATGCCTTTTGTTATCTTTTTAAAACTTTGGTTGGCTTTTTTTTTTTTTTTTTTTTTTTGTGCATAGAACTGTTTCTTTGCTTAAGAAGTATAGTTCTCAAGAAATTTGAAACTGTCTATGTGTGGCAGTTAAATTAGCATTATTTCATTACACGACCTTTAAGCGTTCTGTTTCATGCAGTGCTGATATGTTTCCTTCAATAGGCAAGAATTTAGAGGTATATAAATTAAAGGGGGGTGAGAAAAATTGACATTCCAGAATTCTGATCTGCATCTAGTTCCTCTCTGCCTATTGGTTTAGGATTGATCATCCAGATACTTACAAATATGCTTAACCTGAGGCATGTGAGTAGATTTACTGAATTTCAAGGCAGTTTCTGGATGAAGTCTCAGGTTGTGAGTTCTGGTCCAGGGGCATAGCCTTATATAAATCTATCTAATGTATAGCACACTATAGGGACCAACATCAGCAACCACATTAGTAATATATAAAGAATGCATCTGTGTTCCCACTAAGTGTATTATGCAAGCAGAGTTTTGTTTTAGAGAACTTACAACAAAGGTAAATACCAACAGGATACTGGGGGTTGTCCGAGTTAAACACTAAAGGATATGAACCAGCTGTGTACAAGTATATTTTTCAGATAAGATCAGTTTATTTGTTCTGTGTTTGGAAACCACTTGGCACATGATTGCCAAGATCATGAGTATTCCCTTATCCTCTTACAAGAAAAGTCATTGTTTTGGATGACGTGGCAGTAGAATGAAAATTGTACTGCTATTATTTAATGCCACTTAAACGTCGCATCTGCATTTCTAAAAGAACTATTAAGAAAGTACTTCCTCCATCTTTTTTGCACTAGAATGTGTTTATCTTACCCTTGCAGTGCCATCCCACATGTTCACTACCTTCTGTGAACTTCCTCCCGTCCCTACCTTTCCATCTTTTGTTGCAGACACTGAAGGATGCCAGTGACAACGCCCGCAAGGACTTCCACCGTGAGGCAGAGCTGCTGACGAACCTGCAGCACGAGCACATCGTCAAGTTCTATGGCGTCTGTGTTGAGGGTGACCCACTCATCATGGTCTTTGAGTATATGAAGCACGGAGATCTGAACAAATTCCTCAGGTAAATCCACAAGCACGTATTGTGCTGCTGAGCCAGAAGTGGGCAGAGAAGGTAGACGTTCCTGGTACTCAATATCGAATTAACTGCTACCAGTGGAAAATGCTAACACCTAGGAGTGCAGATCTGTGCAAGTCTTGTCTTCTGTACTGGGATGTGGGGCTCATTTTTTCTTTGCCTGTTTAGAAGCACCATTAAGTCAAGCCTTATGCTTTGCACCAAAGGAACAGGAAGCAAAGAAATATTATTTCAAATATATTTCAGTGTCTTCTTAAATGTTTGCTTATAAATCTTACAGTAGGAGTAATTTTCCTGCAGGCTTTCTGGTAGCACTTGGGAAGATCCCACTCAACACCTATTGCTATCTGTATGTGTCTAAGAGCTTTTGAAGTCTAACCCCCTTTCTCTTCCCTCCTCTCAGTGTTTTGGAAAGACTGTTATTAATCTGAAGCAAGAAAACTGTGAGCCATGGAAACTTAAGTGCAATTGAAAATACTACTTCTTTAGATCCAGATTAGGGCTTTATTTCTTAAACCTGTTTGGTAATGTGCATCAGAAATTGAAACTGGGCAGTAAAGCCGTCATAAATAAATGGATGATGCCTAAGGTTCACAACAACAGGTAACCCATGAACCAGGAAGTTATGAACAGTGGCATTGCGTATGTGCCATTTCCACTGGCCTGCAATCGTTGACATAAAAATAAGCACTTAAGAGACAGCTTTCACTCCTATGTAAAAAACCCATTTGAATAAGGGACTGTTCTTTCAAGGTTGTCTGTGTAATTTTTCTCACAGTGTTGTGGTTTGAGGCTTGGAATGGGGGCGTGACCTTCCAACAACTGGGAGGACCCCGGGTGGGGGTGAAACCATTGTATTCCCTCCCCTTCCCACACACACTCTGATAAGAGGCAGGGAGTGGTTTCTTGTTTCACTCCTGCCTTGGAGCTTGGAGAGGAAAGTTCTCCTTTCACTCCGTGGGACCCTGGAACCATTTCTGAGGGTTTTGTATATTTTATCTTTTGTATTATTCCCCTGATCTTTATATATATTATTTTCCTTACTTCCCTTTTTCGTTTTCTGTTCCTTGTTGAACAATATACTTCATTTTTTTTTTAAAGTGTATCTCTCTCGCTCGCGAGGGGGTGGGGGAGAGGCGAGTACATAGTTCTGTTCCGTGTGGGTCCTGCCCTGAACCCCTTTTTACACGGAACCAGGACACACAGGATATCACGAAGGCATTCAATGTACTGAGAGGTCTCCTGCCAACGATAACCAGGTGTATCACCATTTTGGAAAGATTCCTGTTACAAAGCTGTAAAATAATCCGAACTCATGTCCTTTTAAATTACTTCAGATTTTCTATCTGACTGAAATGGCTAGTTACTGCTAGTGTCACCATTTACTCATTTTTGACAGCCCATGTAAAATGAATTTGCTGTCTTCCTAATCTCCACTGAACAAATAGCCATGCCATAAAAGCAAATGACATCAACTAGCCCCCTCCCTTTGTGGCAGGGCTGCCACATTTGGCACACGGACCGGGGCCTGAACTGGGAATGCAGAACAAACACTACTGCTTTTCCCAGACTGATTGTCTCTCTTGCAGAGGATTTAAATATATCATCCGAGCCATGTCAGGGCATTTACATTTCCCTGCTTGGACCTCTGCCGTAGATCAGGAGAGAACTGCAGTTTCCTGAGATGCCATCTCAGTACTTTTTCAGGACACTAAATTTCCATCAGAAGAAGCGCGATTCACAGCTGATAAGAAAGAATTTACTATTTCATAAGAAATTTTTACTCTTTGATTATTTTTGAGTGTCCTTTCTTACCTTATAACTCTGATTTTGAATTATTGTACAGAAAGGTAGTTTAGCAGACAGCACATTTCCTACTTTAGGTCTTCTCTTTTTTTTTAAATTATTAATCAGCCCTTGTCTTTAGAACATAAAATGATTATGCTGGGACGAGCTGTTAAACCTAAGCTCCAATTTGTCATTCCTCTCACATTTGCTGCAGCTTGTGCTGCAGATCAGAGGTTAGCGGTAAGTGGGCTGTTAAGAGCCTGTATTTCTTACCCTGCAGCGCCACCAAAGGCTGCTGGGGAAAAATTAATCCCAAATTTAACCCGAATGTGCAGACGCCCTAGCTGTTTGTGGGCTGGCCGTTTCAGATCTAGGACTAAAGCCTCGAAGTCATGCCTGCCTTGTGCATATTCTGACTAGTGGGGGCTCATATGGATCCAAAAAAATCTCTGTCAATGTTCCTGGCTGTAGCAGACGCTGGGGGGGTGGGGAGGAGCACCTCATTTACAGTCAACAGCAAGGGGACAAGCAAGGTGGATGGAGTAAGAATAATGCAAAAGGTTCACTACAAACAGACTATGCCCTCAAGGAAGCTAGTGGAAAGTGAAGAGTCTTCTAATTTAGCGACTCAGAACTTCATGTATGAGAGCAGCCATTACAAAAGTCCATGCAGTGAAAAGGTACAGTGCTTTTTCTATAGGAATTTGCTTGCAAGTCTTGGTTGGAGAGTTCATATCTTCTCATTCTCCCTTCTCTCCGCCCCACCCCAGCCCAGCTGAAAGGCTCCTGTGTTACCCTGTGGCAGAGAGCCTCCTGCTTGGTACCAGATGCAGTCCCAGCAATGCTGCACACCCTCCTTCCTTTCTTTCTCACATCTGTCACTGTGCTCATTCCCTTGGGGCAATTTTAGTATCATATTTCTAATAGGTACTGTCAGATTTGATCTCACAGATTTGCATTAGTTTGCAACTCTTTTCCAAAATCTTGTGCCCTTCCTCTAGGCATGGATTAAGGCCTCACCTCTAGTGATTAGAAAGGTGATTCTCTCAAACTCCTTTTTGTAGGAAAAATGGACTTTTGAGAGAAAGTACCCATCAGTTCTACAGTATTTAAAAAAAGAAAAAAAAGCTGTGGTAAGAAGAGGAGAGGTGGTCTTTTAGGAAGAACAGTCTTCAGGAATGGAGTGAAAAAGGCTTCTGAAAATGCAGAATAGTGGAATGGATGGGAAGGGATATTCAGGATATTATAAAGTGTATCAGATGAGAAGGATTGCCAGACCTCATTAACCAGATAAGGATTATCTAGGAATGCTTACTATAAAGTGTTGTAAGAATATTTATGTCTGTATCACCAAGATACTAGGATGCTACACACATATACCAGAGCTCACGTAGTTAAGATGGGTGAAGCACATGTGCTCCCATACTTTGCTGAGCTTTCTGAATGCAAAATGTCTCTCCTGCTGGAGTGTATACAAGTTTCTCATTAGTCATTTGATTATTGCATATTAGAGGTTTGCTAGATCCTCAAAAGCTTGTATTTCTGAAGCTGTTTAGTTGCTCCAAATAGTTTATGTTTTGTGTCCTCTTCCTGTTGTCAAGGACTCCCATCTCAGGTAGGACTCACCTCTGGTGACAGAGTAGACAAAAATGGTTTCCTGCTGTGCCTTTGGATAGGAAATGAGAAGTGTAAGTCTAAAGTTACTAGCCCTTTTTCTCAGATGGCGTGTCAGAAGGAAGTTAGCTTTTTCTTCCTTAAATAAAGATGGAAGGGTCAATGGCCTGTGTCCCTGTGGAAGTCAAGGAATGCTGGTCATGGGAAGAGTGATGCTATGCATCCCACTTCATTGCCTTTCACTCTTACAGAGTGATAAGGTTTTCTCAGCTAACATTTTTTGTTGTCCTTTGTCCAGAAAGTTTACTAGAAGGGAACCAGTTAAAGGTGGTGGTTTTGGGCAGAAGGGTATTATTGTGAAAGCATGTGCCTCATTTCTGAGAGTTTGACCTTTTGTGGTATGCTGTTCGTACCACCTGTCTTTCACACAGGAAATGAAAGCAGTAAATGAAAAAAGCCAAGATGCAGATTTTCGTCTACTTAACAAACGAGTTTGTAGCCCTGTTTGTTACTAGATTTGAGCAAGTCACTTGTGTGGTTTTAGGCTCACTAAAGCCTTTCACCTCTCTGCCTTAGAAGAAGTCAATCACTTATTCAGCTTGTGTTTTGGTGCAGGGCACATGGACCGGATGCAGTACTGATGGCAGAAGGCAACCGTCCTGCTGAGCTGACCCAGTCCCAGATGCTCCACATTGCCCAGCAGATTGCAGCAGGCATGGTTTACCTGGCATCACAGCACTTTGTGCATCGGGATCTTGCTACCCGGAATTGCCTGGTTGGTGAGAACCTGCTGGTGAAGATTGGGGATTTTGGCATGTCTAGAGATGTGTACAGCACAGATTACTATAGGGTAAGTGAACTGCTGTAATTGGTAATAACCTACGACTTGTTTAGTCTTACCACATTGATGTGACTGATTCTGCATTTACACTCCACCATATGTCTCTCAGGTAATTCAGAGGCTGCGTACGGAGAACGTGGTTTTGTGTTAAAAAGTTTCGTTAAATTTGGAGAGACTTAATCCGAGTAAGCATGGCATGTCCTGTTGTTTATGTACGTTAGCTTTATACTCTAATAATGAATCACAGAAAGTTCTTTTTCTCTGGGTAGAAATTTGGTGTTTGCTTGGCTTCAGTGAAGAAGAAGGAGCAACAGATAAAAGGGAAGAGTGGGAAATCACATTTGTCCCTACACTTTGAAGTTATTAAAATATATTCTCACTTCTTGCTAGGACAAATGGAAATTGTAACTTTCGAGTACTGTGTAATGTTTCAATTTGCTGGAGGAGGTTTAAGTACTGGACAGCAGCACTGGAACAGTTATTTTAGTCAGGAAGAGACTAGGTGAGAGACAGCTGAAAGGCTGTCTTTAAGTTTTTCCTGCCTTAAGCCAGGTCTGTAGTCCTACTGCTTACAGCTGAAGAGTTGTTTTGTGGTGGGCAAGAGTAGCCCATTGCTACTCTTCATTCAGGCCTAGGCTGTTCTCCTTGAGCTTGGTTGCCATAAGGTAATCTCTGAAGTTTACAGAGGGCTTCTTGGATCACTAGGATAAACAGGACTGTGTACATTGATTAGCGTTGTTAATGTTGCCTTTGTAATATGCAGCAAGTCACTTAACTGACAGTATTTGCTGTTTGCTACCACATTTGTAATTTCATGATTGGAACTGAAACTATCAGATGATGTGGCTTACATATAAGCACTCAAGCAAAGCTTCTACCCAGTGAAGCACAATCTTAGAACAGGAGTCATGACCTGGAGAAAGCAGGGGTTCACCAAAGGAAACTCTGGTAACCTGGGTAGTCCTTGGCTACCTAGCAATGAACATAATTCATGGGGTATGCTGCGTAAGTCACTGCCTCTTACACAGAATTGCTCTTTTCTTTCCTTCTTCTCTCCCTCTTCATCCCTTTTTTTGAGGCCAGGGGAGAATCTCTGAGGTCCAGGGTGTAACAAAGGAGAAGAAAGGGGGAGTAGTGTGAAGATAGTACAATCATGGGTGTGAGAGAGGGAATGAATAAGGCGGGAAAGGTAAGTCTTAGGGAAGTATTAGTAAAAGACACAAGTATGAGGGAAGGGACATAGAGGTAGATGAGTGTTGGAGGGAAGATGTAAAGCAGCATTGTTTCCATCCAAGTTCGTGGTGTAAGCTTGCAGAATGGTGGATGGGCGTAAAATTTAAAGCTGGAGAGTCACTGGTTCTGCACGATAAGAAAAACAAGGACCATTTCCCTGGCCTCTCGTGTTCCATCTGGCTTCTAGCCAGTGCAGGGGAAGGGCAGAGCCACTGCCTACCATGCCACCGTATTTCACAGTGATAAAGGCTGGAAGTTACAGTTGAGCTTGTAAGGTTTTGGCCTGCCCTGCTTCGGCTGTTTGTGGGCTGGTCAGAAGTTGGTCATGAAACAGTCAAGGCTGTGATGACTTTCCAGACAGTTGCCTGGAGAATTATATCCATGGCAGGACTAAGTAATGAAACTGTCAGCAGTGACACCGGGTTGGCACTGACCTACCATATCTAATTGTTTATAGCAGGCTGTCTTTTTAACTGCTTAGGCTTCAGCACATACATAAAAGCAATCCTTCCACAACCTTGACAGCTTTATCTGATGCTTGTGGAAGGATTTACACATCTCCAAAAAGCTCTGCTAGAAATAGTTCAGCATTTGTCTTTATTAATATGCTAGAATTATTTTTTTGGGATCCTACCACCATGTCAGGGTGTTACATTTGCCCAAGATGATTATTTATAGTTTGCTTTTGTAAGATATGGATGATCCGCAGACGTTGTTCACTGTTAGATTGCTAATGACATTCTGCATTGAATCAGCTCAGTTGTTAAAGAGATGCTTCAGGGAGGAGGGAGAGAGAAATAACCCTTGGGCTGGGAATACATGTGATGCGTGGCCCCGATTACACAAGCTTTCCTTTTTCTCCTCCTTTTTTACTTTCATCAGACAGGAATCTTGTGGGTAAGGGGAGCCCTGGTGTGCATGCCGGCATTCAGTGTAACAGCAGCAGTTTTCAATACTCAGACCAGATGAGCCCGAGGACATGAAGAGACTGCAGTGGCTTTTCTTACAGAGCACTGCTGTCCACTCCAGGCCAAACTAAAACTCTTCAGTAGTTTGGCCTTCATGCCAACAGGTTTTACAGGGACTCTCTGCTGCACTGCAGGCCTGGTAGCACAATGGATCATTTTACAGAGTTATTTACTTGCAAAGCTTAGGTCTCAGGCTCATTAAGGACTTTTCTTTGTTTTGTTGGTGTCTGGTATTTGTTGTTTGGACTCTAAGCCCCCACAGGTCAGGATTTCCCATCTTTTGCTTTGACACTCAAGTAGTGTGACTCAGCACCAGCTTTCAGTGGCTTCAAGAGCTGACACTCTAGCATGGGAACAACATTGCTGATATTTATTCTTGCACTCAGCAAGATCATTTCAGACCCTTTGTAGTCTTCAAGTTCAGGTTTGCAAGTAGTTGCTCAATACTTGGTCTTAAAATACTTTCCTGCATTTCTTTATCATAAGCAAAAAGCTTAATAAAAAAGAAGGAAGTTTGTCTTATCCCAGTACTTGGAAAAACTTAACAGGGATATTCTTTAAATATGCAGCCTGGTAAGCCAGCTACAGGCTTGAGCCAAGACTTTGGATGAAACTGTGATCTCACCAGAGTAAGCAAGAACTTTGCCATTAACTTCATTTGGAGCAGAATTTCACCCTTCCACATTTTCATGTTGTCCAGTGCAGGACAGAGACTCTGTTTCTGATTTAGATTTATGGAGCTCAGTTGTGTAATCCCTGTTTAGCTATTGTATAATTTGTCTTTGTGCAACAGCACAAGGAACAGTGGAGCAAATAAGGACTCCTTTCCTCTGCTTGTACAAACCCCGCAAGCAACTGTCAAAAGACTGGGGCTATTAGTGAGGTTTTCATCTTTCTTTAGGGCCAATTCACCCCATAGGTACAGAGGGGTTCATAAGTCACTAATTAGTTTCCTCCACTTCTGACACAGATGGGGCAGAAGAACCCAAGAGGATGTATTTCAGTATAAAGTCCAGTGACCCTGTTTCTCTTTAAAATATTCTGCATATCTTCTACCATGTTTTGCTATTTGAAGAGAGCATAGCATGTAGTTTAGAAGCAGCAGCACAGGTTACTGACCCCAAGCCTTCCACTCTTGCAGGAAGGTGCAGAGTAGCTGTTAAGGGTAGGATGAGCTGCAAGAGCCTTGGACCTCCCCAAGCCAAATGGAAAATGCCAACACTCGTTAACACTTTAAGCCCTGAGAGATCTTAGGAAGTCAGTCACACCCAACACAACAGGAGGTGACAGCAATCCCTGTCAGTCTGTCTGGGTGAGAGTTACCACCTGAGCTGGCAAACTGTGTAACACTGTGAGCTGCACAGGCCAGCTGCAGTAGGCTATGGCATCGCTGGGCTGCTGCCACACAGAGCACATCTGGCCCTGTTGCCTGCCCTCAGTGCCTCAGAGCAGTGTGAGAAACAAAGCTGACCCAGAGCCAGATCATACAGCAAGAGGGGAAACAAAAATGCACGTGACCAACACAAGTCCCGGAGAAAGGCTTTAGCTGAGTAAATTAATACAGAGCAGCCTACAAAGTACTGGGAGGCTTCTTCTCAGATGTCTCTCAGGTATACCACCAAGTTGGACAGCGGCAGTTGTGTGGCTCTGAAGCTTGAATTTCTAACTCCTGGGTCACTCCTATCCTGTCACACAGTCCCTTCCATCAAAGTGGGTCTTGCAGGTAGGTAGGATCCTGCTACCAGAACGTTCCCCAGAAGGCTGCTCTACAAGCTGCACTGTCATAACAGCTGCAAATTTTCTCTTTTATCAGCAACCTGAATTATTGCATAACCAATGTATACCAAATTGATCACATTATTCTGCCTTCCTAGCCTTTATGTCTCAATTGTATTTATAAAATGTGCTCCTGTCCCCTCCCAGATTGTTTAGGAGGGTTAAAGAAAGCACACTGTCAGGAGAAAATGTTTTTCATCTTTCTTGTCCTCATAGCAGCCTTCTCCCATGACTGTCAGTGTGAGAAACAGCCATTTCAGTGTCTCTTTCTAGTACAGACATCACTAGGCCTGGGAGCAGTATTTTCCAAATGAGATTTTGCCTGTTCTTTAATCACAGGTACTTCCCAGCCTCTAATGAAAACGTGCTGCATGGTGCATCCTAGACTCGCCTAGCCTGTGTCATAGGCACAGTCACTGTATTGTCAAGCAGTGCCCTGGGCCATTCTCATCTTCCAGTATTTCCCGACGAAGAACAACCCCTTTTTAAAAAGTTCTTGGTTTCAATCCCTCAGTGAATGGCTTTGCAGTTCATACTGGCACATTTTGTACCTCTAGAGGTTAAGAAAGACTGTTGTCTCTTTTTATTTTTAGCTTCTTTAGGGTCCGCTTTTTAAAAAAATTAAAATCCATGTCTTGTCTAATTTGATGGTGATTAAAGAACTAAAGAAAGAGGATCATGGAACCAATAAGTAAACAGCTGAGGGACTGAGAAAGTAAGGAATTTTCCTAGATTTTAGTGGCTTTGTTTCTTCATGTTTTGTATCTTGATCACTTCTATTTAATGTTTAAGTGAGTATTTTGGGAAAGGATGCCTTTTTAAAACATCAAGTTCCCATGCTATTTCAGTTAAGGCGTGAGAAGTTATTACACTTCTTAGCCTCCCATGAAGACTTCCAGAAAAGCTAAGGATTACACAGTTCACTATTCCAGGCCAATTTTTAAAATACCCGACTTTCAGACCTTATTTCTGCTTGAAAAGGTCAAAAACCCTTTTGAGAAAGTGTGATGACACTTGGGAGTATCATAATCC